GTTCTCTCCCAAGTGGTTCCACTGCTGCCAGCATTAAGTCTGAGTATGATTCAGTGGACCATATAACACTTTTAATTGTCAGGAAATTACTTGTCTTTAAAATTTTTGGTTCAATATACTTACCTGTTGATTAAAAACAGCCTTAAACCTATACACTTTTTAATTTTTTTTATTTAGTAACTTTCAGGAGGGTGTACTCATTTTTGCAACACAAAATTGTATCACTTTGATAAGAAAATCTTATTTTGCTGAATAATTTTGGCTTTCTTCTTTGGTAATTGATCAAGCAGACTTGTTGGAACATTACATCTCCAAAGAACCTTAACATGTCTTCTAAGTAAAGAGTAATTGCTGAATTTGTTAAGTTTTAGAGGGGGTGTACTCATTTATGCTGTGCACTGTATATATATATAGAGAGAGAGAGAGAGAGTGAGAGAGAGAGAGAGAGAGAGAGCCAGGAACATGCAGGCTACCTGTTTGAAGCCACAGGGTGAGATTTGTGAAGCAAGAGCCTATGCTTTTGAAATGTTTTTAGGGCTTGAATTTCAGCACCAGATTGCATGTATTGCATTTAATTTTACTCATTCCCGCACATTCTGTGCTTATAATGTGGGAAATTCATGCAAACATTTCAGCATGAAAGACAATAGGGACAGCATATATATATATATATATAGATAGATATATCTGCAATACTATAACACAACTTAAGTGAGTAAACTTTCTTCACACAACAGTTCATATGAAAGATATGTTCAGAGTTGTATAAAGTTAAAGGGGTCATATGATGCTTTTTTAAAGATCATTATTTTGTGTATTTGGTGTAACAGAATATGTTGAGATGCTTTAATGTTAAAAAAACACATTATTTTTCAAATACTGTACATTATTGTAGGTCTTCTATGCCCCGCCTCTCTCAAACGCTTCGTTTTCTACAAAGTCCCTCCTTCCGACAAGCACAGTCTGCTCTGAATGGCCATCTGACCCAGTCAGAGCAGACCCAGTCTCTCTCTCTCTCTCACACACACACACACAACTCCGCATTTGAACAGTCAATAGCAAATACTTAAAACTAATAACAAAACGGAATTAACCTTGTCTTCTCAAGAATTAGGAAAAAAGTCATTAGCTGCTTTTGAACAAACAATTACAATTAAATGTTAAAAGCACCTTAGAGCTATAGGCCCCTAAAACCAGTCAAATTATTAAAACGTAACAGAAATTGAAATAGACCTGAGACTAAGAAAATACAGTACGATTAAAAAAATGCTTATTAGGACATGCAGTGAAACGTAAAATATATAAAAATAAGACTGTCAGGCAATTTAAAGTTTTAAAGGTTAAAAGAGAACACAATATGAATTTAAAAATAGAAAAATGTTTTCTATTTGATTCTAATTTTCATATTAGTTATACAAACATAAAAACTAAAATGACCTGACTGATTAAATAGCTTAAAAGAATAGTTAACCCAAAACTGAAAATTTTCTGTTAATTTACTCACCCTCAGACCAACCAAGATGTAGGCGACTTTTTTTTTTTCTTGAGTTAGAACTGTAAAGAAGATTTCTGGTAAAGAAGATGTCCGGTTTCTAGCCTATTTCTTTTTAGTGAACTAGATGAACCAGTTTACCAAATAGGACTGAACCGTCAGTTCGTGACTTGAGCAGCACTGATCTACAAGTTACTCAATCAAAACTCACTTTCGGACATGCCTGACAGTCACGCCAACTCGAAATGAGCCAAAATACCATATATGATCCTATGATGCTGGTTTTTACCGGCTCATCCAGTGCCCCAGTTACTCCAACAGTACACTGCACTGAGGAAACAGTTCTGACTCAGAAGACCGGTGATAAGTGCATGCATGAACCAAGCACTTGAATGAAGGGGCGAAATTAAAGTTTTTATAGTTTGTCTTTGTTTATTTAAAAAGGTGAGCTGATGAAGAAGACCAGTTCACTTATTCACTTTATATGCTATAGACTTGCAAAACATCCATGATTCACATCATTACTGGATGTTTTAATAATATGATTTCGTATAGCCTATGTTTAGTCATTGCATGATTACGTAAACTAACTAGTGAACTGAACCAATTCATAGAAAAAAATTGTCCGAAAGAGCCAGTACATGGAAAAGAATCAGATTTATGTGGATTACAGGTAATAATGCCACATAAAGCCACTGACTCGCATTTTATGAATCACCAAAGACCACGGTTTCAGCTAAAAATCTTTTTTACTGTTCAACTAAAAAAAAAAAAAAAAAGTCACCACCTACATCTTGGATGGCCTGAGGGTGAGTAAATTAACAGCAAATTCAAATTTTGGGTGAGCTATCCCCTTTGCACACTCCAAACAGGATCAATCCATTATTGGGATGAAATAAAAATAACCAACGAGGCCTCTGCCATAAAGCTGTGTAATGATACAGCAACAGAGACTTTGGAAGCCTGTCTTAATTTTAAATATAGTGGCCCTTAACACACATTATTTATGGGTCATTTAGCATTAATGATGGATAAAAATTATTTTCCAGACAGAAATCTCATGACAACCAGCATGCATTGAATTTGGTTTGAAATAATTGGAAATAGACCTCAATTCATATTTCTATCCCATCTTTTGGTAACATACAGCATAGAACATGTGAATGTCAGAGGTTAGGTCAACAGGGTGAGAGAGAAGCTTGTACTTCCTATCGTGGTTTTCCTCCCAAAGGTAGGTCATGCCGTTTTCTGTGGCAGGAGAGCTGCAGTGATCCAGGGACACATAAAGCCAAGGGTCTTTGATGACCTTTTCCGATTTTACATCGACCTGTCCAACAACTTTCAACACAATGAGACGCTGATAATTTTCAAGTGCCAAACTCTCCACTTTGCCAAAGAACACTAGAAACACACACACACACAAACACAAAGACAAGATCATTAAGTCTACTTCCAAAAAAATTTATTTTGCATTTCGGGTTGCACCACAATAAATGTTCAAGAACATCACCTGTTTTATTGCACATTTCAGGGATCAGGTCCATTAGTGGTTTCAGCCTGTATTCTGCAGGGGAGCTGTTAGGCTTTGGTGTTGGTTTGAGATGTTCAGCACAGCAGCTCCACAGGGACGTGTTGTAGTAGTAATGCCCACAGCAATGGTGGTTTGGTTTGGTGTCATAAATTATGGCATTGGTTGAGGAAGAACAGCAAGTTTGTGTCTTATATTCCAGCAGATGGTTTCCACAGCACTCTGCTTCCCCACTTAAACGTGTTAGGTTGTAGAGATGACCTGAGCAGCATCTCAACAACTGGTTGTGGTGGTCATAGACTTCTGAACCACAACAGAAATTGCCATTCATCTTGTTGTGGCTAAATAGAAATAAGTTGGAAAGAAAAGTCATTCAACAACCAACACAGAAATTGCCCGAGGCAGTTTTTTCAGGTTATTAGTGGTTTTAAAATTTCTTGAGGGTTCATGGGGTGATCCTAATGACTGAGAGACTCCCGCTCTAAAGCTGTGCCATGTGAATAAGTCTTCTGTGAGAAATGTAGTGCCAGTAAGCATGTTCCTATGATGTCTCTGGACGTATCAGTTAGACTTGAATTTCCAGTTACAGACAAAGCCTCGTTTGTCAAGACAGCATGAGACATACATGAAATCAGGCTACAGGCCAAACACTGACTATCTGCTATTTTTTTAATGGTTTTGCCTAAAGCTACTAGATTTTTGGAGATTGAGTAACTTTTTACATTGTATATAAAGTTGTACCCCTAAAGAAATTATCTTTCATTTTGACATATATGTTATTCTACATAAGGCAGGTCACCCCCTCACGGTGGTTGTGATGTTAAGATCAAGGGTCAAGGTCTGGTTGGTTGGCATGGCCCACTTAGTGCATGCTGGTAACTATATAATCTGGATCTACAGCATTGAAAGTCATTTAAAAATAGCTCTACATTGTGAGGAAATTAATTTAGTACTGTAGATAGCCCATAAAGATGCTAACTACACAACCAGCTGAATACTACTCATTTTGCTTGCAAAATTAATCAAAACATAAATTATTTAAAACATGAGCAAAAAATACTAAGGGCCAGATTTACTAAACAGGATAAATAAGACATGCTTTTTGAGGCATTAAATAATGGCACAAATACCAGTAAACTATCAAAAACCTTAGTAAATCGCGTTGTATGATTCATTTCATTTTAGTTTTTCAATGCGTGTCTTTAGTAAATCAGGACCAATCTTCCCTCTATTTTTTTTCTTGCTGAGCAAAACTTTTCTCTATTGTGCGGCCACCTGAGCAAAAACATTCTTTATACCAGACCTGTACAGCGCACACACAGAAAAGGGTGCAACTTTTAACTTTAATGTGCTATTTATATTTTATTTGACCCTTGATGTAACTAAATGATGCACATTTTAGGTTACCTGGGAAAACATTTTTACAATGCTGTCATACCAAGAAATTCTATTAAAAGTAATTTTTACAAATCTCACGCAGAACAGTTCAATTCTTTATATTAATATTAAAGAATATAATAAAATAGGAAAGAAAACAAACCGAGACATTTAAACTGAGATCTGTAAGCTAAATATTTGAAAAAAACGTGAACGTGAATTCTTATATCGTTATCTAAACATCCCTATGTAGTAGAGTTTGCACTTTACTACACCTGTGACTGTAAATGTGTCTGAGTTTTGTTACCATTCTGTGCCCATCATCCGCAATTTCCACCACTTAATCAAGCCACTCTTTTTAAAAACATGATGACATTTTAGTTCACATGTTATTACGGTCGCGTTGACTCTCGTGTTGAGCTGTTTTGTCCGCAACCATTTGATTTCTACAGCAACATTTGGCGCACATCATTCTCTTTCTATGAAACCTGTAAACCGCATTCACCGGTTCTAACTCTATGGCGACACCAACTCTATAGTGGTTTGCCCCGAGCATTGCAATTATTTTGCATGTACTATAATTCAATCAAATGGCTTTCCCAATTCATTTTTGTGTGTGTCCTGTGCCCGCTCATATTATTTCTTCTGCGTGGTCATGACATAAGAAGTGCACGGCCACGTACGCGTGTAACTTGGAGGGAACATTGATCAGGACAGCAGTTTTATGCCCAAAGAGGGTTTGCGCTGGCGCAGAATGTTAGTAAATCTGGCATTAAATTTGCTTTTAAAGGGGTCATATGATGCGATTTCAATTTTTCCTTTCTCTTTGGAGTGTTACAAGCTCTTGGTGCATAAAGAAGATCTGTAAAGTTGCAAAGACTAAAGTCTCAAATCCAAAGAGATATTCTTTATAAAAATTAAGAGTCAGCCACACCTACCTAAAACGGCTCGTTCTAACACACCCCCACATACCTACGTCACGATCTCGGAAGATTTGCATAACGCCGCCCAAACGTTCACGCAAAGAAAGAAGGCGTAACTTATATTCTCGCTGTAGTATTGTTGTTGCCACCGCCGCCATGTCGTGAAGGC